ACTGCGTCAGCACTGCGGGGCCACAACGGTCACGAGGTAGACAAGGAGATGACTAGTAGTAGTAGTAGTAGTAGTAGTAGTAGTAGGGGCACTTGTGAGCAAATTGAGTCACAACTGTGTGACAGGCATGACACCCACCTGCCACTGAGTGATCCAGTCGAAGCTTGGGTCGGGCTTGAAATTCGGGCCGTACAGGGACGGGATCCACAGGAAGGGCTCCTGGCACACGGCGTCTTTTCACTTGTCCGGAGCAGCTTGAGCCATACATACATACATACCTACTACATACCTACATACTGACATACTCATACACAACTACGTGTGTGCGTGTGCATGTGCGCAAGGTCGGTGCTATATATACAGGTACATTCGCATGCAGAAGTACATGCAGTTCATGTGTACCATCAAGTTTCAATGCTTGTGCCGCAACCTTGCTTGACAAGCTCTGAGGCCACAACGAGGTTCCCTTGGACGGCTGCTGCCCTAGCCCTAGAAACAATAGTGCAAGGCATCTCTCGAATTATGTTCGGTCGTGCCTTGAGATGAGGATACTCCACAATCGCCAGGCGCCGGATGGCACGGTAGAGGCCCCAGAAGACAGGCAGCTGAAGCAGCAACCTTCATAGCATTTCGCACATGTGAGCATGGGTCATGTTGGTTAATTACAGCCATATTGCAACACACCTAGCTGCACGAAGTTGGAAAAGTCGGAGTGTAGTTGACAGCGACAACGGCATGGGCTCCATGAGGTTACGAACGAGGTCTTGAGGGTTCTCATGATATCTTGACGCTGGTAATAACTTCTATAGTACCCATATGGAACCCTTCTAGAACTCCTACTACTACTACTACTCCTACCGAAACCCCTATGATAACCCTTTTCTTTAGGAACCCCTTACAGCAATGCAGATAGACACACCTTCATCCAGACTTCGGGCCTGAAAGTTTGGACTCAAGTCCAGGCGAGAGAGCTCTTAGAACCCCCGAAAGCTGCGCCCAAAGATTCACCCTCCTCTGACAGAAAATCATCTCTGCAAAGGTTTCCCGAACTATGTCATTTTTAATTGCAAGGCCACCCCCCAACTCAAGAACCTCAATCTTTGTCAACCAAGACGGAGGCAAGTACACCAGAAACACCAAACCGCTGAACCCCCTCCCTCCCGACGCCCAAAAACCCGTCAAACCCCTATCACCTAAACCACTTCTGCAAGGCACATGGAAAGGACTTCGCACTAATCTGCGCCATCTCGTTGCCTAAACTCCCTCTAACTCCAAGGAAAATAAATAAATAACTTCTTGGTCACTTGCCTGGCCTCATCGACTCATAAACTAAGACCAGAAAGTTTTCGCAGGGTCCGGTTCGCCCCAGCCTAAACCCCCAGAGCCCCACCATCACCAAACCCTCAACCAAAACCCGAAAGGAAACCAGAAGGGCTTTAGCACAGCCTCAACCCCTTAAAAAACACCTATCCTCTTCGAACCCCTGACCCCTAAACCCCACACCCCTAAACCCCTGAAACACAACCCAACACACCCTAAACCCCCTTAGAATCCCCATCCGCTTCGAACCCCCCGTTGCAGATCCAAAAACGGGAGCACCGCGCCAAGCGGGTCGACCTGGAGGTCCATGTAGAGCATCCCCACCTCCGGTGTAGGGGGGTAGGGCTTAGGGTTTTTTGCTTAGTGCAATGGCCCCCCTTTGGGTTTAGGGTTTAGGGTTTAGGAATGTAGAGTCTTATTTTACCCGAGAGTAGGGGTGTAGGGTTTAGGGCTTCGGGCTTAGAGCATGCTCACCTCCGGGTCGAAGGCTTTAGGCTTTAGGGCGGTGTAAGTAGCGTTCTGGGTTTAGGGTTTGGGGGTGGTTTAGGGGTTTCGGCTTGTTTTTATCCTTGGTTTAGAGTTCAGGATTTGGGGTTTAGGGCTTCAGCACTCACAACTCAGCACCGGGTTTCGGGTTTCGGGTTTAGGGACATCTGGTTGAAGGCTTGATAAAGGGGCTTGCTGGGATTATGGGGCTGCAAAGGTCCTATACATCTAACTTCTCTTTAGGTTGTCTCATGGAGCTTTGTCGAGATGGAAACTTCTCCTACCCTACATGCTGTTGTCTTGACCGGTGGGTTGGCAGCCAAAGTCATGTTCAACCCTTTTTTGCATCAGGACGTGTACAATCTCACTAAACCTTGACTTCTCGAAGACAAATATTTAGTACCACTGTACAATCACTGGGCACTGGTCCTGCTTGTTCACTCAAACTAGACGTCAGATAGCAAGTCGTCATGACTGTCATCTTCAACCCTGCACAACCTATCTCTTGAGGGGTAGAGTTGGACTCTTGTAGGTCAAAGAGTAAAAGAACCAGGCTTTGCGGAGTCCAGGTATGGTCTAGACTAGATAAAGACGAGAGTTGGGATCGAGGCTCCGCAGACTTGGATTTGCGACGCTGATGTTCACAGCTGCAGCCCGGTGCTGATGAAAAACGTCAGAAGTTGCCGACACTATTTGCGGGGGAAGAGGATCTACGGTGTCGGGTTTAGAAATTATTTTGCGGCTCTAGGGCCATTGCGGCGAAGAGGGCCTCCCTTCGTTTTGGAGCTTTAACCGGCTCGGGTCCTGCAGCTCAGCAACAGAAACTTCGGCTCATCTAAAAACAAAAAGCCTTTAAATCAAGTCCAAGAGCAGAACCTTAAAACCCGAAGCCCAAAGCCCTTGAACATCCCAGAAAAAAACTCTTAAAAGGATCGAACCCAAAACAACATCCCCGTAAAGCGCTGGAAAAACAACCTTAAAGCCTAAAAGCCCAAATTGTCGTTTTAAAGTCCTACCACAAAACTCCCCAAGCGCCTCCTGCTGCAGGCGCTCCTCATCGTCCTTCGATCGATGTAGGTTTCAGGGGGGCGGATGGCGTTTTCAGCTAAGGGGGCAAGAGGGCTTCAGGGCTGAGGGACCTTTTTGAACATGCGTTTTTTTGGGATGGGGTGGTTAGAGGGTTCTCGGGCTAGGGTCTGGGGGTTTGGGGGTTGAGGGATCTTTTGAGCCTTGGGACTGCCGGTTCTGGGCCTGAGGGCGATTAGAATGTAAGGTTTTGAGGCATCGAAGCCGAAGCCCTAAACCTCAAGCCCTAAAACCGAAACCTCAATGAGCCTCAAACCATAAGCCCCTAAACCCCTAACACCCTAAGTCACCCTAAGTCACCCTAGCCTAAACCCTAAAACCCTACACCCCTGAACCCTGAAACCCTTAAGCCCCTAAACCCCAAAACCCCTAACACCCTTAAGCCCCAAAACCCCAAAACCCCAAAACCCCTAACACCCCCTAAACCCCCAAAACCCCCAAAACCCCCCTAAGACACCCTCGACTTCAACAGAAAGCCCCACCTTGTACTTCTCCCGAATCCCTAAACCCTAACCCCTAAACCCTAAAAACCCTAAAAACCCTAAAAACCCTTAAAAACCCTAAAAACCCTAAAAACCCTAAGACACCCCAAAAACTAACAGAAATCCCCCACCTTGTACTTCTCTCGAATCTCGTTCACGCGGGGCGCCAGGACCTGGATCTTCCTGGGCCATCTCGGTCCGTCTTTTAAGCGAATTAGGGGTTTTAAGGGTTTTAGGGTTTAGGGTTTATAGAAACTGTTAAGGGTTTAGGGTCCGTCTTTTAAGCGAATTAGGGGTTTTAGGGGTTTAGGGTTTTAGGGGGTTTAGGGTTTTAGGCGTTTTAGGGGTCTTAGGGGTTTTAGGGTTTTTAGGGGTTTTGGGGTTTAGGGTTTAGGGGTTTAGGGTTTAGGGGTTTAGGGTTTAGGGGTTTTAGGATTTTAGGGGTTTTAGG